AAAATTATGTCCTTTTTTAAATTTTCTCTTATACGTTTAAAGATTTTTTTTTTTCATTTATGTTAATGTAAAAATTAATAATTTTGTACCAAAAGAACCTTAGGAAACTTACCTTACCTTATTATAACAAGCGCAGTTTAGTTTGGTCTAATCCAGCTAAATTTATTTTAGATAAGTTTATAATGATTTAATAATAAATATTAAAATAATAATAGTAAAATTAAAAGCCACTCTGTAGTGTTGATAAAAAAATTCACGAAAATAATAATAATAATTCATTATTATTATTATTATTATTATTATTATTATTATTATAGTAGTAGTAGTAGTAGTAGTAGTAGTAGTAAAAATTGTGGGAGTGTTAATTATTATTATAACCATAATTTACTTTATTGATAAGGTAGAAAAACGGAGAGCTGAGCAGTGATTTTTTTTGCACGGAATGGAAGGCAATAAACAATTTGTTTCTTTCCCCAGTACAGAGGACGACCAGCGGTCATCCTTCAGTACACACAAAAAGTCACAGTCAAGTGGTCATTTTTTCCCCCAGAACGGACAACGACGGTTGTTGACAAAGGCAGCTTGTGTAGATAAATGGACACGAGCCAAATAATGGTGGTAGTGGTGGGGGTGGTAATAGTGGTGGCTGTGCGTGGTGGTAGCGGTGCTGGTAGGGGTGGTAGTGGTAGTCGTGATGATGACTGATTATGATAACACTCAGAAAATTAAATTTTAATAATGACTTAATGTTTTTTGCAGTTAAAAGTTAAACCTTCATATAAATGGTGGTAAAGAGAAGGGGAATAAGAAGGAGGTAAGACAAGTGGAAGAAAAATTTGGAAAAGATGGGCAAGAAAGGTTGGAGGGTTGTGAAAGGTGGAGCAGTAGTGGCAAAGGGAAGAAAGAAGGAAATGGAAGGAAGCAGATGAGCAAGAAAGGGGAAAGAAGATAGGCACCAAAGATTGGAGGAGAGGTGGAAAAGGATGTAAATAAGAGCAAGAAAGGGCGGAGAAAGGTGAGAAAGGGTGATGAAAAAAGTTGAGAAGGGTGAGCTAGAACACGCGGAGATAAGGGGTATGGGATGGGGGCAAGGAGACTGGAAATAAATAAAGAGGGGAAAGAGGAAGACGAGAATAAGTAAGGAAGGGGTTGTTTCCTGAGACTGGTTCGTACACCTCTTTCATTCACCACCACACGAGCAACCCAACCAGCGTCTCCTATTCCAACCACAACCCTCTACTACCACACAAGCAGCCTAACCAGCACCTCCTGCTCCATTCACTGCTGACAGGTCCAAAAACCAGACAGTCATCTACTACTACTACATCACCCACTACCTACTACAAGACATCTAACGACATTCACGGCAACTGCAACAGCTGCATTCGCTGCCCTAAGCAAACATTTATTTACAAACAATCGGGGCATTTCGTGTTTTATCGTTAATAGAACCACAGAGAGAACGCCCGCCATCTGTCGAGAAGCTAGAAATATGTAAACTTTGTCTATAACGGAGAGTAGGAGGGGCCAGAAGCTGTGATTCGATCCATGTAATCACAACTAGGTTATTACGACTGAGTACAACTAAGAAAGAGATTAATTAACAATAAAGCTACGTCACAACCTGCGGTAAACCTGTAGGGATTATACAGAGCGTGGGGAATGGAAGGTACTCAGGTTTGGTACAAAGGAAAGGTAGTTCTGACACCTTGGAACAAGGGCCCATCACCACCGTCAAGGCACCTGTTTATTTGAAAGAGATCAGATTAACCAGGCCAAGTCAGCTTCGTTGACCCTCCGGACACACATTACTACATACACAAAACTCTACACAGAGTCCATCGTTGACCCTCCAGACACACATTACTACATACACAAAACTCTACAGAGACCATCGTTGACCCTCCGGACACACATTACTACATACACAAAACTCTACAGAGACCATCGTTGACCCTCCGGACACACATTACTACATACACAAAACTCTACACAGAGACCATCGTTGACCCTCCAGACACACATTACCACTTACACATGACTCTACAGAGACCATCGTTGACCCTCCGGACACACACACATGTTTTCGGCAGAGTCATCCTCCCTCCGGCTACATTCTGTCTTACCTCGTTTCTGCAGTTTACTTTTTATTATGTGAATGGTTGAACTTCTTTGGGTCATTTAGCGCAAGGAATTGTGGAAGCTCGATTCTTCGTCCAGGAAACACCGTCCAGTCTCTGACCAGGTCAGCTTTTGTTTCTGTAAACATTTTTCATGTCTGTTTTCCCTCAAGAGTCAGGATAAAGACGTTCGTTAATTGCATATTCAATTAAAATATTTATTAGAATATCCAGAGAAGTCTGGCTGCAAAAATTATGTTTTTGACTTGCTATTAGTGGACGGAGAATCGAGCCTCCGATATGCCTTGAACTGGATCGACCCACAAGGCTTCAACGCTTCACAATATCCATCAAAACTCAAAATGAACTTATATTACCGT